TAACCATAAGTGTGTTTTCTACAGTATAATAGTTTAGTGATTATCTATAATATCTAAACGGAAAAATCTTTTATTTTAGTCGACCGGCTTGAGTACTGCTTACTCGGACCTTGGCCTGGATATTCCGGTTCCGAATATTAGAAAACTATCTTGTGATACCGGCATCTGTCCAAACAAATCTCAAGTTGCAGCTAGCAGCGAATCAGGCTTTACCACGTATGAACCATCTAAAGGTTTATTGACCCCAGAGCCATCAGCGTCCATCTTAGCTCCCACCGAAAATGCCAAAGATTCATTTGTGGCTCTGCGACCGTGTGATTCTACCTGTGTTCCTTATGTTTTGGAGTCAGGATCCTTGAATCGTTCAGAAAATTCGAATCACGATTATTATTTTGCCGTAGAGGAGTTATCTCAAGAATTCCCACTGGTCGAGCCCTCTTTATCTCTAACTGGCGAATATTCTGATCCTGCAATAGTTATGAGTTCCCTTCCTTCCCGTAACGGTGATTCCTCCAACAATTTTGACACTCCTGGAATTCTTCCATCTATCCTCAATACAAGATTTATAAAGACTTCGCCCGGAAATTGTGCTATGCATCACCAAAGTGATAAGTACTCTCTTTCTGATGTGTGCTGCCCAGATATTGAGCCATCCTTCCTACAAGCTGCTTCTCCCTCTTCCCCTGTCAGTAGTATAGAGCAAATGAGCGGTCATATTGAGGCAAACTTTACTCCTGAACATAATTCATCTCGTTCCTTTTCATCCATTAGTAGCACATCCTCGCCACTTTTGATTGTCAAGCCCACTCCTTCCAAATGTCATCAAGTGAGGATAGAATATATTTTTTCCATTGACTGCTTAATCTCCATCTATATATTTTAGTGTGTGCTATAAAACTGACCATAAGTCACTTCAATTTTACATAAAATAAGTTTTTGAGATTGTTTCATTAAACGTGTACACCAAAAGTATTACCGCATCCGTCATCTAGCAAGATTAGTGCGATCTGAAGACAAAAATACTTGTTACCTGCTTTTCATATTCATCACAATGCTTTTATCTATGTATTTTATAAGGCCTCTTTTTAAAAGTGATAAAAATGGAATTTCACTTAAGTGATACGTTAATATTAGCTAAATTCGTTTAGGTTTGGTCAAGGTTATAATTTTATTCT